TAAAGTGATGTGTCATATTAATCTTCAGATAATGTTTTCTGGCAACTGATCAGTACATTTTTCCTACGGTACACTTTTTCATAAATAAGCAATTTATTCAACCATAAATATTTACAATGATTTCAGGATACTGACAAAGTCTCTGAATACAAATCAGTATCATCATCATTTAAAAGTTTGTCTAAATTCTCAATAAAGTATTTTACCTTGACTGTTGGATCACTACAGAAACGTTAAGCATATAAATATGCATTCAACAAAACCTTACATATAAGTATTGTATGGAAGATAAGTTGTTGTCATGGACTTCTGCCTTTAAGGTATCAGCTGTCGTGGGCCAGTGTAATAAACACAACCAGTGATTTAAGACCAACACTATATGCAAATATGCAGGAATGTGACGTGAACAGAGTTGAATATCTAAGTCAACACACCATGCCTACCTTTGAACAGTGGCATGAAACACTGACTGACTGAGACACTGATTTGTAACAGGAGCTGTCAACATTGTTTAAATGCACTGAACTCACATCCCCGACGATCTGGGGACACTGTGGGGGGTTTGCTTGCACGTGTCGTACACTCATTTATCACCACAGAGTCCGCTGTGGTGATTTGAGGTTAGATGGGGTTTAACTTCACGTTCAAGATTAATGCACGTTCAGTAAACTACGTTTATAACGAACACGCTTATAACGATCTGACAGATATAAAATTATAATGAACTGTTCTTGATCCCGCCCATTTCCTGTATATATGCTGGATATATGCTTATAATGAACTACGGTTATAACGAACTAAATTAGTGGTCCCTTTGAGTTTGTTATAACCATAGTTTTCTGTATAAAGCAATGTACATGCACGTGTGTGTGTGTGGCTGCTTGTACTAGTCTCGATTTTATATGCTAGCCCACTGAGATACCATGCCGCAGTTTAGCATGGATACCCCACTAAGACACATTATACTGACTCAGAGCTGACCAGTACTTGCTTCATCCCCTTAATGCCGAGCACCAGGCAAGGTAACAACAAATACCATCTTTTAACATCTGGTATGATGCGGCCTGGTTTCAAAACCCCGACCTTCCACTCTCTGGACAGATGTTCCACTACCGCATGGAATCAGTCAAGAGTCAGATACATCTTTTTCCAGTCTTACAAATATTCTCAGTCAAGGTGCCAAGGCACAGCAGACAAACATATGAACAACAAAATGTCCAAAAAGTCTAAAATAGAATCACAACAAAAATACAAACAAACAGAATTTTAAAATTAAGCCAATAACACATTTTAATTCATTTTGTTTATGTTTGCAATATATAGGGCATGTTATCTGTAAAACCCAAACAAAGTTGTCTGGTATAACCTAATGTCAACACAGAAAGGGTATCCCATCAACAATCAACAATATTGTGAGCACCTGTTCCGGCACCCCTTGAGCACCTCCCCTTGCCCTGCAGACAGGCAGAGCCATGGTGATGTAGATGAGAAGATGAGAGACCCTTCAACCCCTAGTGCCACTTCACACCTATGTGTGGCTTACATACATTAAGATACATGAGTAAATGTCCATATATTTACATACATAGGTATATTTGCTACAGGAGTAAACTTACATTTAGTCAGTGGGTTGTGAAAAGATAAATTTGCATGGAAAAAACACTACTTGGAACAGCAAGGATATGAGTGGAGCTTGGAAGACGGGGGGGGCGCAAGGTTGGGAGACATGGCAGACGTAAGGTTGGGTGACATGGCAGACGTAAGGTTGGGAGACATGGCAGACGTAAGGTTGGGAGACATGGCAGACATAAGGTTGGGAGAAGGTTGGGGTGGTAAAAGTCACAGTGACAACATTGTGTCTTGAAAGACAATAATCTCTATGTAATAATCACTCTGTATGGTCGGGGGTGGTAGAAGCCACAGTGACAACATTGTGTCTTGAAAGATAATAATCTCTATGTAATAATCTCTCTGTATGGTCGGGGGTGGTAAAAGCCACAGTGACAACGTTGTGTCTTGAAAGACAATCATCTCTATGTAATAATCTCTCTGTATGGTTGGGGGTGGTAAAAGCCACAGTGACAACATTGTGTCTTGAAAGATAATAATCTCTATGTAATAATCTCTCTGTATGGTCGGGGGTGGTAAAAGCCACAGTGACAACATTGTGTCTTGAAAGACAATAATCTCTATGTAATAATCTCTCTTTATGGTCGGGGGTGGTAAAAGCCACAGTGACAACATTGTGTCTTGAAAGACAACAATCTCTATGTAATAATCTCTCTGTATGGTCAGGTGTGGTAAAAGGCACAGTGACAACATTGTGTCTTGAAAGTGAGTGAGTGAATGAGGTTTTACGCCGCTTTTAGCAACATAACAGCAATATCAGGGCGGGGGACACCAGAAAAATGGGCTTCACACATTGTACCCATGTCGGGAATCGAACCCGGGTCTTCGGCGTGACGAGCGAACGCTTTAACCACTAGGCTACCCGATCGCCCTGTGTCTTGAAAGACAATCATCTCTATGTAATAATCTCTCTGTATGGTCGGGGGTGGTAAAAGCCACAGTGACAACATTGTGTCTTGAAAGACAATAATCTCTATGTAATAATCTCTCTGTATGGTCAGGGGTGGTAAAAGCCACAGTGACAACATTGTGTCTTGAAAGACAATAATCTCTATGTAATAATCTCTCTGTATGGTTGGGGGTGGTAAAAGCCACAGTGACAAAATTGTGTCTTGAAAGACAATAATCTCTATGTAATAATCTCTCTGTATGGTCGGGGGTGGTAAAAGCCACAGTGACAACATTGTGTCTTGAAAGACAATAATCTCTATGTAATAATCTCTCTGTATGGTTGGGGGTGGTAAAAGCCAAAGTGACAACATTGTGTCTTGAAAGACAATCATCTCTATGTAATAATCACTCTGTATGGTCGGGGGTGGTAAAAGCCACAGTGACAACATTGTGTCTTGAAAGACAATAATCTCTATGTAATAATCTCTCTTTATGGTCGGGGGTTGTAAAAGCCACAGTGACAACATTGTGTCTTGAAAGACAACAATCTCTATGTAATAATCACTCTGTATGGTCGGGGGGTGGTAAAAGTCACAGTGACAACATTGTGTCTTGAAAGACAATAATCTCTATGTAATAATCTCTCTGTATGGTCGGGGGTGGTAAAAGCCACAGTGACAACATTGTGTCTTGAAAGATAATAATCTCTATGTAATAATCTCTCTGTATGGTCAGGTGTGGTAAAAGGCACAGTGACAACATTGTGTCTTGAAAGTGAGTGAGTGAATGAGGTTTTACGCCGCTTTTAGCAATATTACAGCAATATCAGGGCGGGGGCCACCAGAAAAATGGGCTTCACACATTGTACCCATGTCGGGAATCGAACCCGGGTCTTTGGCGTGACGAGCGAACGCTTTAACCACTAGGCTACCCGACCGCCCTGTGTCTTGAAAGACAATCATCTCTATGTAATAATCTCTCTGTATGGTTTGGGGTGGTAAAAGCCACAGTGACAACATTGTGTCTTGAAAGACAATAATCTCTATGTAATAATCTCTCTGTATGGTCAAGGGTGGTAAAAGCCACAGTGACAACATTGTGTCTTGAAAGACAATAATCTCTATGTAATAATCTCTCTGTATGGTTGGGGGTGGTAAAAGCCACAGTGACAACATTGTGTCTTGAAAGACAACAATCTCTATGTAATAATCACTCTGTATGGTCGGGGGTGGTAAAAGTCACAGTGACAACATTGTGTCTTGAAAGACAATAATCTCTATGTAATAATCTCTCTGTATGGTCGGGGGTGGTAAAAGCCACAGTGACAACATTGTGTCTTGAAAGACAATAATCTCTATGTAATAATCTCTCTGTATGGTTGGGGGTGGTAAAAGCCACAGTGACAACATTGTGTCTTGAAAGACAACAATCTCTATGTAATAATCTCTCTGTATGGTCGGGGGTGGTAAAAGGCACAGTGACAACATTGTGTCTTGAAAGTGAGGTGAGGTGAAATTAGGTTTAACGTCGCGTCCAAGATTATTGCACTTATACAGCGACATGCATGCATGTGTGTGTGTGTGTGTGTGTGTGTGTGTGTGTGTGTGTGTGTGTGTGTGTGTGTGTGTGTGTGTGTGTGTGTGTGTGTGTGTGTGTGTGTGTGTGTCACTGCTTGTACTAGTCCGGACTGATGCCGATTTATAGTGCTAGCACACTGAGATACCATGCCGCAGTTTAACATGAATACCCCACTCAGACACAGTATACTGACTCCGAGCTGACAAGTCCTTGTTTTAGCCCCTCAATGCCGAGTGCCAGACAGGGTAACAACAAGTACCATCTTTTAACGTCTTTTGGTATGACGCGGCTGGGGATCGAAACCCGGACCTTCCGCTCTCCGGGCGGATGCTCTACCACTAGACCACTGAGGCGGTCTATGTCTTGAAAGACAACAATCTCTATGTAATAATCTCTCTGTACGGTCGGGGTTGGTAAAAGGCACAGTGACAACATTGTCAGGGTTGGTAAAAGGCACAGTGACAACATGGTGTCCTGAGGATGATAATGCAGATTATCTTGCTACTCTATGAATCATCACAGCCCCTGCCTGCAGATAACACTATTGAACCTGTAGTCAGAGTAGCCCCATCATTAAGTCCACCCATACCAATAGCACAGATACAGGTGATGATGTGACAATTCCAACAATGTCATGTCAACTCTAAAAATAACACAACTGCCCAAAAAAAAAACCATTAAATGAAAAAAAAAGTAAGTTTGTTGTTTAATGCTGCACTGAACATTATTCCAGCTATGACAATAACAAAAGCATAAACGATTAATCAAAAATAATAAAAATTACAATGTCAATGTCCGAAATGTTTAAATATACAAATACATATTGAAAAGAGCAATGCACAAAGAGAATTTAATAAAAGTATAATTCTTTCAAAAGAAACGTAAATGTAACGTGTTCTCACCTGTGATGTTTTGTTGTGTTATCTACCAAGTATAAAGTCAGTCTCGACTACCAGCATCATCTTGTTATTCCAGGTATCCCATGGTCCATCTGGTATCCTGCTTGTTATGTCATTGCGCTGTTCTCCGTGTACTGTATATATATCTGAAATATACACAGCCAGATGTCAATACCCATTCAACTGTGACTGCCTCCCATGATGATTGTTAATGGTCACGCTCAGCTGGATGTATTTGACAAGTTATTATCGTCCTATCTCCCCGTGGAATGCGCCCAAGGGAGGCAATCAACTTTTTCTCACAATGCAAGGATTATCATCAGTTCATAACAATTTTGTTTCTGAACAGAAGGTATTATACAATGCCACAATGATGAAGTATCAAACAGGTCTGTCAACAATGAACTTCATGTGCGCAACAATGCAGGTTTGTGATGCTTGACTTCATTGTGTACCAGTTCTAGTGAATAAATATAAACACTTTCATCTCCAGTGAATTATGCACACTCACACAAACCTACACAAATATACTTTATGTGTTGTTTTGTTAATATCATCATAATAATATTGGTTTTTGTGCCAACCACAATAATGTTGAATGATATAAACAACTTTCCTATAAACTATCATTATAATATTGGATTTGGGCCAACCACAACAATGTTGAATGATATAAACAACTTTCCTATAAACTATCATTATAATATTGGATTTGGGCCATCCACAACAATGTTGAATGATATAAACAACTTTCCTATAAACTATCATTATAATATTGGATTTGGGCCAACCACAACAATGTTGAATGATATAAACAACTTTCCTATAAACTATCATTATAATATTGGATTTGGGCCAACCACAACAGTGTTGAATGATATAAACAACTTTCCTATAAACTATCATTATAATATTGGATTTGGGCCAACCACAACAATGTTGAATGATATAAACAACTTTCCTATAAACTATCATTATAATATTGGATTTGGGCCAAACACAACAGTGTTGAATGATATAAACAACTTTCCTATAAACTATCATTATAATATTGGATTTGGGCCAACCACAACAATGTTGAATGATATAAACAACTTTCCTATAAACTATCATTATAATATTGGATTTGGGCCAACCACAACAATGTTGAATGATATAAACAACTTTCCTATAAACTATCATTATAATATTGGATTTGGGCCAACCACAACAATGTTGAATGATATAAACAACTTTCCTATAAACTATCATTATAATATTGGATTTGGGCCAACCACAACAATGTTGAATGATATAAACAACTTTCCTATCAACACTATCATCATAAAAAAATAAGATTAAGTGCCACCCGCAACAATGTTGAATATATGAACAACCTTCTATCAACATTAACTTCTAAACACAAATGGTACAAAAAGGATCATATTGTAAAACACTCTTGAAACAAATGTATTCAAAAATGTTTTATAAGATGTGCAGCATGTCAAAAGATTTAATACCTATGAAACTATGTATGATCAAATTTGAAATACATTAATACCTATGAAACTATGTATGATCAAATTTGAAATACATTAATACCTATGAAACTATGTATGATCAAATTTGAAATACATTAATACCTATGAAACTATGTATGATCAAATTTGAAATACATCACTTTGATCCATACATCCTTGTAACCATGTCTCCTGTCTACTCCTGTACAGTTTACCTTCAGAACACAGCCACCAGGTAATGGATGGTCACATACACGCAATAGTCCTCATTCCATGAATTATTAATCCCTTGATATGATTACATTCTCATAAATAACACAGTGGTCTGGAGGAGGGGACGGAACACAACAAGAAACCGGTATTAACACAAGCCATTGATCACCTTGTTTGGTCTTCTGTCAACGGGACCAAGACAGTGAAGCCTTTGTCTCCAGTCTCAATATTTGATGTTTCTCCGATACTTAGCTGTGTTTAGATATTGAATGATACAGAAAAAAGACAAACAAAATGATTTCAGCAAAACAATACATGATTTGAGGTGGGCCTGTGGATGGTTGTGTTGTATGTGATTGGTGTGTCGTGACCTTAAACAGGGGTCCAGGCAAGGTTCACCCACACAAACCTTGATATATTGTCCTTATCATGGGGGGACAAGTGGCATCCAAAAATATCTTTTTTAAGATTGTGGAAAAACATTACAACAAGAAGAAAAAGTTAATAGCACTTCATAATTATCATCACAAATGGACATAAGTAGGGGGTATTAATAATTTATGCTACCCAATTCTTTCATATTACTATCGTAATCGGTCATGGCATGACAGACTATAATAATATGCAAGAATCAGTAGTTCTATAAATTCTCTTCAGTAGTAAAGTTATCAACACTATTTATGTGATGCTTACGTTATATGAATTTCGAAAACTGAAATGATGCTGAGAAATAATTCTTAATAAATTCTGAACTGACATAGTATGAGCCTGACAAAAGTAAGAAATATTCTCCCATCTTCCCACAGAGGGATGAAACAATGAATCAACCATTAATCCTGACACAGAGAAACAGCTCCCTCTTTCGTTCAAATTACTATCCTCACTGCGGCACAAGCCTATGAGGAACAAGACACACGTTTCTCCAAACACCTTACATCCCTGTACATATCTCCAGCAGGCTAATCAGGTATATCTGGGTTTCCTATAGCCTGGCGTACAACAGTCATTATCATACCTCCATGTCAGAAGGAAGAGATCTAATGTTTCACATGATCTTGATAAAATACCATGTATCTTGACAGGGAGGAAAATAAATTCTGAGAGGGAAAATAAATCCCTTATACCCCACCATGAAGAACACAGGCTGCACATTGATTTCTGACCAGGAGATTTAATCCCTTATACCCTGCTTTAAAGCAAAAAGCCACACGCTTTTACCGAGTCACTGAAAATCATGTGATATAGCACAAGTTAACCTAAGCTCAACCAAACAGCTGTTTTCTGTCTATTTTGAATTTGTCTTATTTCTTTCACAATGGCAGATAAAACATGTCAGTAAGATAAATTTGTTGTAGCAGTATCACTCGGGGCATGTGGGGTTTTATGCGTCCTGCATGAGGTTTAATACCACTCGGTTTGTGGTATAAAACTTAACGAGGAAAGCATAAAACCACTTGTACCCCTTGTGATACTGCTACTTCTTATAGAATCACATAAGTCCATTATTTGTGGACTAAAATGTCAGTATTGTACATCAAAGTTGCAGCCATTCATTGATGATGAGGGGTGGTGGGGTAGCCTTGGTTTTGATTCCCACATAGGTAAGACGTGAAAGGCTTATTTCTGGAATCGCCTACCGTGATATTGCTGGAATAAAACCTGGCACAAAACATACTCACTCACTCACTGACGATGAGAAACCAACAACACAAATGACAAGATCCGGAAACCCAGTCACACAATCCTGTCAAAACTGTTCCTGTATCCTGACAACTTCCACCAAGTGATGAGAAGGGCCACAGAGACTACTTCCAGACATCAACACAGCCCTACACAAGCACCTGCCTCCAGTGTGGCTCAGCAATCTGAACAGCGTCATGCACAGGACCAATCCCTCAGGCCACTGCAGGACAACATCACATAATTTCACCTAATGTCCTCGCAAGCAGGTGAATCAACGGCCAGAGGCCACAAACGTGTGATCTATACTCGTTTATTACTGATAGAACACCTCAATTTACGACTAACATCTTATCAGCACACCTAATGGCAATCTGTGGCCCTCAATACTTAGGGACAGAGACATCTTGATCTGAGCTGGTGCTCTACAGGTGAAGCATCCTGAACGAGGACACAATGTATGTCACGAGGAGATGTGATATATACTTACTGCTGTTATCATGGATTTCATTCTGCTTACTCTGAAGCTATGCTGGAAACCGTGTAAACAAAGTGGAATGGTAGCATACCAGGGTGAAGTGGACCGATGGCTATGCATTTTATGGGTGTGACATCATATTGATACTTTATGAAGTTGGAAAATGGCAGGGAGGGTCACCATGCCGTCACAGAGTGAACAGAAACTCACTTTAGAAGGCTGGGGGCACGGGTGGCCCAGTCGTCTAAGGCGTCGCGATTTCGCTGTGAAGAGTTGCATCCCTTGGGCACACCAGAAACCTATGATTGTGGGTTCGAATCCCAGTTCGCCCTGATTATGTTTCTAGGTGTGTCAGCACCATACCCGTGCTCGTGGGTTTCACCGAAGTGGTAAACATCTGAGACCTTCGGGCTTTTCTCCCACATTAAGCTGACACGCCGTGATATAACTGGAATACTGTTAAAAGCGGCGTTAAACCCAACTCACTCACTATAGAAGGCAGGCTTTGTGTGACATGCAAGGTGTCTTCCAAGGGTGGGGAGCTCCCTGCCTTTATCTACTAGTACAGTGTGGAAAGTAAAACGTTGAAAATTTAACAGGTTATTTCAACATTAATGAAATGATTCAATCAAACTGATTAAATGCCTACATCATTTTTAATAATAAATAAAAGTGTTTTCAATAATCATAAGAAATTAAAATGCAGAATCCAGTCCATTGAACAATATCATAAGCATGTGTTTTTGAATCACTATAAATTAGTGATGATATCAGGGGTTCACAAACTGGTGAGCATATCCTGCCCTTCAGGTGGAACCCATCAAAAACACATGCAAAGGCAAGTAAATTTTTCACATGAAAAAACATGGGAACATATGGAACAAGTCAAAATAGGGAATTGCATCATACATAAATGTTGTCACTGATGTGTCAAATTTGAAAATGTTCTCCACATGTCTACCATATAACGTTTTAAAGCAACTGCACATGTTATTTTTCAAACAGTGACTGTGGCTGTTTTCAGTTCACATGTACTCACAAACATGGAATACACTGCAATTTGTGTCAGCCATATTAACTATATAGGCATGAGTATGATGTAATGCATGACTACAGAAATAATAGCCTACGCTTCATGTTGCTGCTGCACCCAAGTGTCATGTAGCATGTCTGTGTCGGATGCGAGACGAGGATGCACAGCAGCTCAGGCATGAAATAACATCTTTCAGATGGTAATGTCCCTGTTAGACACTATTTACTGTATGCATCAGGGCTT